TTCTAAACAATATATCACAAAGATTTTCCTAACAGCAGGAGGTAGGTGTCCTCCTTAAATTAATGCACATAGTTTTTTAAAAACTATAAACATAAAAATAATTTTTTAAAATTCTTTTTTCCAATTTATAGTCTGTAATCCAAAAGAAATTACATTATTCCTTTGTTGTAAGTTAAATTTTATGTTTAATAAGTCAGGGCTCTGTTTGCTTTTTAAAATTGTATTACTTCTTAGGATTCGCCGGTATATCACTATGACAACTATTTGAAAAACTAGCAACTCAGAATATTGTGGCTTCATTAATTTGACAACTTTCCATATTATATACTGAGGAAGAAAGTATGCTTCTAGGTTTTTATACTAATTTATTTTTATTTAATAATAGTCTTTGTAATCTTCAGTTTGACTATCATAATGCTGAAAAACAAAAACATGAAAAAGGTATGAATGTATGTCATTCTAAACCTCTAGATGACTCACAAATAACCATTCTTAAGTTAATAAGATATTCTTACCAACACTATTGGTTTAGAGAGTAGCTAGTGGCTTTAAATTTCTAGATGCGTTTTGTGGTGCTGTGTTTTGTACAAAAGAATAAAAATTAATTTTCCAACATGGTCCCCGTGGGGTAGAGGTAAGCCACAAAAGATGCCAGATTTAATGGAAGTTGCTCAAGGTTAAAGTGTAAAAGGAAAACTTGAGTCAAGAATTAACTTCTTCCCAATGTTCTCATTGTAGCACTACTGACTCATTCATTATTCAGTTTGAGTAAGTCACTTATATTTTTTGTGACTTAGATTCATAGATTATGAAATGAGGCTAATTTAATGGTGCTATTTAATAGCTCTATTAGAACTTAAAAGAAATAGTTATTTTTATTACGAATAAGTAGATTGTCATCTTTAAACTACTATCTCTAAAGAGATGTATACATTTTTTCTACATAAAAATGGTTTTTATGACAGGTTCGATAAATGTGAAGTGTTTCAGTCTCTGCACCACCCGTGGAAGATTGTTTTTCTCTGCATGGTCGTGCAGTTCTCTACAGAATTATTAAGGAAACAGGGCTCATTTTGTGGTGCCTTTCCTGTCGCAAGACCTCACCTTCTTACACCTCCCTCTCCCCATTCAGCCAAGTGAGCGGAGGCCAGGGGCTTGGCACTTGATGGCTCAAAAGTTGCCCATTCCTAAGCTAAAGTAGTGAGAAATTCAGTCTGAAGAAATGAAATATCACTTTATTCATATGGGAAATAACTATGCCTTGGAAATGTTCAGAGCTTGGTAATTATAACAGGGTTTGTGTAGCTTTGTGTGTGGGCCAATGTACTAGCAGCACAGCAACAAAACAGAGGTGTGAGAATTTCTGTCTTATCCAAAGTGGTTAAAATGGGGCAGTAACAAGGCTTCTCTTTGCAAGCAAGGAATAGCAGAAAGCTTAGAGCTTTACTATATGTGTTAAAGACACAGCCACATGTTTCATGTTTAAGAATGACTTCTCATGTTAAATAAGTTAGTTCCCCATGTACCTTCTCCTCGAGGCATGGACCAGATGGATTATGTCCCATTTTACAATGACTGATGGAGAATTACTACACTCTTTTATTGCTAAAAATGTCTCAGTGACTCAGTACTTTAGGGCTTATGCATAGATAATGTGATAAAATAAAGGCATATGGTAGATGAAAGGGTTTCACTCTCTTTGAGGTCTGATTTTCAGATTTTTCAATTGGTAACTTTCCCACTGTTTGAAATCCCGAACCTAATCCACATTTTAAAAATATCTATCTCAATATTGTTCTCTAGAAAGGCAAAATGAGAATGAATTGGAACCTTCCCATTTTTATTTTGCTGTATTATTTATTCATTTGCTTTATTGCCTTCTATTTATGAGGCAGTTTTATGATAGTGAATAGAAAGAATTATACAGTTTTTCCTCTTTGTTTAAGAGTTTATCAATTGGCTTGGGAAGGAAAAAGATGTTATAAGATATTGATAAATTAGATGGGCAGCGGTGTTGCAAATGTTAAGAGGAACAAGAGAACATTTCTAGCTCAGACTGTCGGAATACGGGGCGGCGGGGTTGGGGGGGCTCAGGAAATGGAACTTGCATGAGCCTTATAGAAGGAGAAAACTATGAGTAGCCCTGGAAAGGCGACATTTCACTGGCTCATGGCCATAGAAGCAGTGTCTGGCCTGGCAATTTGAAGGGACAGTGAGTAAACGATAGCGTAGTGCTCAAGAGACTAGGCTCTGGAGCCAGACTGCCTGGGTTCTGGATTGTCCTTTATTTGCCTCGTGGCCTTAGGCAAGTTTCTTAACCATTCTTTGCCACAGATAGAATAAAAAAATGTTGCTAATCTTGCCTGAATCATAGAGCTGTTAGAAGGCTTTGACAAGAGTGCCTTCAAATAGTGATAGCTCAAATTAAATATTAAGTATAATAGAGGATGACGATGACCAGGGTGTGAGTGAGCATAAAAGACGAGGTTGTGAAGAAGACCGGAGTAAGGTCCTTGAGGGACGGACTCTCAAGACTGGATAAACAGGAAACCATGATGAAAGTAGTGTATTTGGGGGGGCACCTGGGTGGCTCAGTGGGTTGAGCCTCTGCCTTTGGCTCAGGTCATGACCTCAGGGTCCTGGGATCGAACCCTGCATCGGGCTCCCTGCTTGGTGGGGAGCCTGCTTCTTCCTCTCCCACTCCCCCTGCCTGTGTTGTCTCTCCGTAAAATAAATCAATAAAGACTTCAAAAAAAATAATTAAACAAAAAAGAAAGTAGTGCATTTGGAAAAGTCGTCTAGCAGAATAGGTTGAAATGAGATTGACAGCAAAGAGACTGGTTAGGAGACTTGTAATTGTCCACACCTGAGAGGTTTAAGACTGGGACTCACATGATAACCCATGGGTTTGGATTAAAAAGAAGGCCTGGGGGATGTTTACAGTGGAAAAGTTGTTAAGGTCTGGGGACTGTCAGGCACTAGGAGACAGGGTTGTGGCTGGGTAAGTGGGAGAATTCAAACATACAGGAAGGACTTCTTAGGAAGAGCTGGGAATGTGTGCAAGAAGATGAAGTCCATTTTGCATGTCTTGAATTGAAAGTCAAGACCAGAATTTGGCATTGAAAACGCATATCGTTTGCTCTAAGGGAAGTCAGGTTTGGATATAGAAATGGAAGACCCACAGAGGAGCAATTTGTGCTATAAATAAGGTGACAGGGAAGAGAACATATACAGTGATTTTCTCTCCCATTTCTGTAAGATAAAGTGTGACTATAGGAGGATGAAAACATGTTCCTAGCCCAGCCGAGTCACTTGAAACAAGGGCAGTAGTAAAGCTCGCTGGCCAATAAAGTGCCATTTCACAGCTCAAGTGCCAGAGCAAGCACTATAGATGTGCTGAAGGTTAGTAAATGCTGGGTTTCTGGATCTGCAGTTGCACATCATTGCAAACAGGCTTTATTCTGGTAACAAGAATCATCCTTTCAATTATCCTAATTAATCTTATCCAATTCTAACCACACCTAAAGTATGAATCCTGTCAATACACACACATGTAGTTTATAAACAAAAGTTGTTCTTTTTAAATCTCTTTTTAATATATGCCTTTTCTTTTCTACTACATTGTCATTGCTGGTGGGTAAGGAGCAGGCCTCCTGTTGGTTTCAGTCCCTTACAGATTTTTCATTCACTCATTTATGTATTGATTCTAGTTCATTAAATTATTCTTTTGTTCATTCATTCCAGACACTGTATTTGTTGCTAGGATGAGGACTGAGGCACAGTTCCTGCCCTCAAGGAGCTTAACTATTCAGTTGGGGGAGAAAAGACACAGATATATGAAGTAGAAACAGTAATAAAGTCATTCACAGAAAATTATGGGAACGTGGAAGAGAAACATTCAATCTGATTATGCAGCATGGACAGTGGGGAGAGGTACTTCAGGGAAGATTTTGGGAACACTTGACTTCTGGGCTGAGTCTTAAATGATACATGGTGGTTACTAGGTACACAGAAAAAAGGGGGGAGAACACAGTGAAGACAACCTGTGCATAAATTCACAGGAAAATGTGAGGCATTTGGTATTGCTGCAGCATGAAGACAGAAGCAGAGAGTGATGAGAGGTGAGGCTGTGGGCAGGCAGAGAGCCCTGGAGGGACCTGGATGCAGTGCTCAGAAAAGCATGGAAAACATTTGGTGGTCAGAGAAGAGGGAGATCCTTGAAGTGGCTTCTGCAGAGTTGTGATCTGATAGAATTTTAGTCGTAGGTGGCAGTTGGGAGGGTGCATTTAAAAAGGACAAGACATAAAAAACAAGCAAACAAACAAAAAGACAAGACTTTTTGTGACTAGCAAGGTGGGAGACCGTTAGGACCCAAACTAGGACAATATTGTAGGAATGGAGATGAGTGGGCAAAATCAAGAAGTAGTTGTGCTATAAAATCAGCAGGACCCATTATAACCACAGAGGAGGAAGGGAAATTCCTAGGGTGGTTCTTACATAGCTACCTCATATGACTGGGTGACCGATTTCACGGTCTACTTAGAGAATAGAGGAAGAGAGATAATACAGGGAGTTCATTTTTATTTTTGTTATCCTCAACACATTGAGATTTTTAATGCACCTCTGATGTATTGGGAGTTAAATCTGTTTTATGGTTAGCAGAGATGACTAGAACTATCTTGCTGTCAATATTCACCTTAACTGTATCCCCTCTTGGAAGCAGAGGTGATTCTTCTTTTCCGTCCATACCTTATGCATTCATAACTCTTTGAATGCATTCATCTTGTCATTTAACTCTTACACTGTGCTGTAATCCTTGATTTTCTTTCCTGTTCATTTCTGTAGTCACTGTCCAATGTTTGCTACATAACCGCTCCATAAGTGTGAGTGAATAAACAAATCAACAGATTATTTTAAAAAGTAATATTATTATTTAATTACTAGAAAAAGTTTATATTTGGTATATTCTCAAGCTAATTCTTCTGTGTCTTAACTCCTAGCACTTTCCACTGGAAGAATCTCGAACAGTGCAACTTCGTCTGGAGCAGTGGCACCAGCCAACTCAGTAGGGGGACAGCCCCAGCCAGGTGACCAGGACACTTTAGTGCAAAGAGCTGAGCACATTCCAGCAGGGAAACGAACTCCAATGTGTGCCCACTGTAACCAGGTCATCAGGTGGGTTATTCATTTTTGAAATGTTCCTTAAAGTACTTAATATCAGAGTTGATTTTTTTATATATATTCTGAAAGATTTGACATTTTATTAGTGAAAAATATTCTATTTTATATCACAATCTACATAATAGTTATTGAAGTAGATAAATTTGAATACATATATTTGTTAGAACCTATTATAATGAAAAGTATTTCTGGACTCTCTGAAAATAAAACTAAAAATACCAGTTTTCTCTGTTACTAATTCCTATCAGAACTAAGAAAAAATAACAATTAATGTGGCCTTCCAGAGATTAATAAAATTTTAAGACTCACAGGGACCCTGAAGATCATTTATCGGAACTTCCTTCTTCATTTAGATGAAAAATAACTAGTGACATAAAATAAAGAACTTTGAGCCCTAGAGAAAAGAAGATTGGATGTTTGAATACCCAGGCCCTGGAAGATATAATTACCTCAGATCTATTCATAAATGCTTTCAATTTTAGATTAGGTCATAACCTCCTTTTTAAAAATATTTTTTATCCAAATCTGTTTTATTGTTTCTTAAATTCCAAGAGGTATAAAAGGCCCAGAGATCTTAAGTGAATGCTCTATATTGGCACTTATTAAAACCTCTGAGCATTTCTTTTTTTTTTTTTTTTTTTTTAAGATTTTATTTATTTATTTACTTGACAGACAGAGATTACAAGTAGGCAGAGAGGCAGGCAGAGAGAGGGGAGGGGAGAAGCAGGCTCCCCGCTGCATAGAGATCCAGATGCGGGGCTCCATTCCAGGACCCTGGGATCATGACCTGAGCCGAAGGCAGAGGCTTTAACCCACTGAGCCACCCAGGCGCCCCAACCTCTGAGCATTTCTTAACAAGTGGTTTTTAAAATGTTAGGAAGTATAGATAAGAATGTTGATTGCAGGGATCCCACCAGCAGGACCTTGTTGCCTCTGTGAGTTCCTTTTGTTGGCAGTAACAAGTGTTAGGTTGAAATGACTGCTCAGGCTCTCTCCCTTGTTTTTCATTTATCCTGTTTTAAAATAGTTGAAACAATGGCTTCTCTAAAGTTGAATAAGGTTAGGATTTACCTGTATTTCCTCTACTCTGTTACATAGTTATTGCTTAGGATAATGTTTCTGGTTAAAACTTAAAATGGAGCCCAAGAAGCCTCAATACTTTATTTAAAAACCAAATATAAATACTCCTTTTCTTAACCCACTATTAAATAATAAATGTGTCAAGGACACAGCATGCAGTACATGATTAAAAATAACTTTTTAAATTTTAAACGTTCAATTGTAACATTTTAAAAATATAGTGAAACAGAAAGCAAAAATAAAAATTCATACATAGTTCTACCTTCCAAGATAAGCACCAAGAATATTTGAGTTCGCACTTTTTTTTTTTTTTAAAGATTTTATTTATTTATTTGACAGACAGAGATCACAAATAGGCAGAGAGGCAGGCAGAGAGAGAGGAAGGAAAGCAGGCTCCTGCCGAGTAGAGAGCCCGATGCGGGGCTCGATCCCAGGACCCTGAGATCATGACCTGAGCCGAAGGCAGCGGCTTAACCCACTGAGCCACCCAGGTGCCCCTGAGTTCGCACTTTTAAAACATACACATATAAGGACAGGTGTTATTTTACAGAAATGGAATTATAATAACAATATTTTGTAAGCTGTTATTTTTCACTTAAATATGTTTTCCACATTAAGTATCCACTTAATAAGAATTAGCCATTAGTAGTATTAATGGCTATGGGGAAAAGGAGAAAATCAGTAGAGGTTTCCCAAGTCTAGACAGTAACCAAGACGCATAAGGATTTGTGAATATTTTAACTGAGCAGGTCATACATGACTCGAGTCACTTGCTCAAGCCATCATACCAATTTGTAGAGTCACTTTCCTAACAGTGGGACTGTAGGGTTACTACTTTACAGAATCTGTACACTAATAGACTCTAAAGTGGTACTGCTTTGTTCCAATAAATAAAAGTATGTTTCTAATTACTAACTGTATTTAGTTACTATATTTTTAGGATTAATGTTAATAAAAACAAGTTCTGACTTACTATTTCTATAAGTTATGCTATTTTGGTTATGTAGATTGGTAGTTAGGGATGCAATATTGTAGATAAAAGCAGCCTTTATGGGAACAGAAGTCACTGCTATTTGTATGCTGTTGTAAGCAGTTACTGGATAGGCCAAAAGATCCCATCACTTGTTGATTCATATTGTCTGATTATCAAATTCTGTGACATCCTATAATCATCAGTACCAATGTATGTGAAAAACTTAGTATGGAGAAAATACAAAGATCTAAATAGGAACTGCATTCCTACCCCTTCCTACCTGCCTTGGTTTCAGTTATAATGCTAGGCCAGGATGTAATTTTAATCCACAGTCTTTCTGCCATCTGAAATAAATATATATTATGTTAATAAGATGAATGGCCATCACTTACTATTCCTTCATCTGTTAAATTTTATATTGCTCTGGATCACTGTTATCAGTTAAGCATTAAAGCTTCATTTATTAAGGAAGTTAATAGGAACAGGGATTAGTTCATGTCAAGATCATATAACAGTAATTAACGCAGCACATTTGCTTGGTGCTCAAATGCTAAAGTAGCTTGAATAGACTGTAGTCAGTTTAGAGACCTAGTCAAAGCATAATTCTTGTTCTTGGCCTCAGTGTCAGTATCACTTACCAAAGCAAGGACACATTAGATCAAGTGACATTCTCTTGGACACCTGTTTCAAAAACACGCTGCAGTTGCAGACTTGATACTTTGAATACAGAATATTGTAACCTGCCAAACTCTGGGAAGTTTATTATCATTTTATAATTTATATTTCTTATTTTCTCCAGTATAATTTATATTATTTATTTATAATTTGTATTATTTAATTTATATTATTAAGCATCTCAAATTTTCAAAAAATTTTAAGTAAAAGCAAACTAAAGCAAATTTTGTTTTAAAATTTTTTTTTTTTAGCAAAGTTAATTGTTTTTGGAAAACCTCAGAAAACTTCATCACTGAATGTTAGTACTGAACTAGTTTTCACTTATAACTAGCCTAAAACCCCATAGGACATTTTATTTATTTATTTATTAATGCTTAGCATTTTTTGGCCTGTTTGAACCTAGAAAAGAGTTATGAATGTTGTGCCTAAATAGACATCATTTTGATTAGTTAGTGGCCTTTTATGGATACGTAAGAAATTCTCCTGAGGCTTTGATTAAGTTTGCTCTGGAACATTTCTTAATCCATTTATGATACAGGTACTGATTTTTTTGACTCTTATACTCAAGAATTGATTGACAGATGGGTGCTGGTATAATAGGGAAATAGAAAATCAGGTTAATGTAGCCAAAACCACATTTTAGCCTCCCTGATAGAGTGAGTTTATGAAAATTCTAGTTTTTCTTGACTGTCCTATCTAGTGGCATTAAAATCAATTCAGCATTTATATTACCTGGAGTTGACTAAATCATTCACTTTTTTTTAAAATTTTATTTCTTTTCCATTTTATTTTATTTTATTTCTTTTCAGTGTTCCAAAATTCATTTTATTATGGAGGGCACGTATTGCATGGAGCACTGGGTGTGGTGCATAAACAGTAATTCACTTTTAGCTTAGCTTCTCTGTGAAAGAAGTACAGGATTTATAGTGTTTGAATTTCTTATTAGCTATGGAATGCTTAAAAGAAATAGCCATAGTGCTATTGTTCTGTATCTGCCTGGAGTATATAGCACCAAAACAATCACATTGAGGCTACCCATTGTTTACTCCAGTGAAAGAGAGATTTTTAACATTACTGGTCTTTTTCTTGGTCAGTGATTTTCAAACTTTCCTCATACTGGGCCATCTCTGTTTCTCCAAGTTGAGGCCACCAGGGGTTTTTGCTTGTTTCACCGTGCATTTCAGTCTCTGAGCATTCCCTTATTAATAGGTTTTATTTATTCTCCCTTTTGGTCAAAACTTCACTTGAAAGTAAAAAGTTTCTTAGTGAATTGCGTTAGCACCTGAATTTAAGGAAACAATCAAAGACCTAGACCAAGTTTTATGAGCAAGACATATAGACCAAGAATTCAGATTTACTGTAGTGAAAAATTGGAAAGAACACAGATGTTCAACTAATATTATGGTACCATTAAGATCCTGGTTTTGGATAATAATAATAGTTGTTTAATGTGTTCTTAGCATATGTCAAATGTTACGCTAAGAATTTTACCTGAATTCCCATTTAATTCTTCATAAGCTTGTGAGATGAGAAAACTGAGGCACAGAGAAGTTACACATTTGCCCGAAGTCATATAGTTGATAAATGGTATAATCTGAATTTGAGCCCAGATCTAACTTTAAATTTTATTCATATTCTAACTGCTACTTAGGAAAATATTTATAATATTTTATTAATATGAAAAAATAAATATATTTTTTATTTTAAGTATGATTCTAATTTTGTGTAAAGAAAATATACATCAAGATATATTCATATATGTGAATACAGAACTGTTATGAATACACATACACATAGTCATTTATGTTACTGTATTAAGTCAGGAGAAAAACAGCTTAAGTATACCTGCCATAACTTGAGTGCAGCAATGTACTTTTCTTCATAATATTTGAGTATAAAAGTGAGAGAGAAGGGAGTAAATAATAGATTGAATAATTAAAAATTGTTACCTCTCTACCAAAATGACTTTGTACCACGTACATGCATGCATTCTTAGACTCATAGATGACCCAGGGTTCCCTTTTCCATTTTCTCATCTAATGTAGAAATGCAGTCATTCTATAAATAACACTCATTAAGTATTTTGTATATCACTGACTTTAAGCACGAGTGAGACAGAAATCAAAGACATATTTCCTTCCCTTAAGGAAGTTACTATTGCAGACTGGATTGTGTCCTGGCCGTATATCGAAGTCATGACCCCCAGTACCTCAGAATGTGGTGTTCCTATAAGAAGAGATTTGGACACAGAGATATATGGGGGGAA